TAAACCCTAAACCCTCAGCCCTGAAGTTTTTAATTGTCATCCCCATGCCCTTAACACTTTCATCCCGACCCTGCACCCCCTGAGCCTTAGTATTGGGGGCCGGAATACTTTGCGGTATCACTTCTTCTTTGGTTTTCTGAATATAGCTCTATATATATATATATATAGTGCTCTATACTCCGCAACCCTATTGCAAGTCTTAAGTCCCGTACAATACACCCACCCCGAAGCCGCAAATCGTCATCCTTGCATCCTAACTTCTCGCGTGGAAATCGAGGAAACTTGGGTCTTCAGCCGTCTCAGCGATTCCGGGGCATTGCGCCGGCACCCTTGCCGGAACGCTCCAAGGAGCCCGCGGTGTGTTGTTTGTTCTTTTTCTTCTTCTTGTGGGGAAAGGGAGCAGGGCTTCATGTTCAAACCAGAACAACCGGAACCAATGTCTTACTTTGAGGAGCTAGTGGGGAGCGAAGGGGTTGGTGTGACTTGAGGGTTTAGGGTTTAGAGTTCAGGGAGGTTGGGTTAGGGGTTTGAGGATGTTCTTTTAGGGCAGGGAGGCCGGGGGCTAGGGCCTTGGCTTTGGGTTTTTGATTGTGGCTTTCTGGAGGGGGGGGGTGGGGGATTTTAGGGCCTGACGGGCTCTGGGGGCGTAGGGCTTCAGGACTAGGAGGGTGGTTACCTCTTAATGTTTTGAAGTTCGGGGGCCACGGTTTAGGATTTAGAAGTTTCAGGGTTCAGTTCATAGTACTCGGCTTGCGCGAGAAGTGGGCCTGCACATACGTCCCTGCTATGCGCAGTTCTATTCGAGCAGTGCGACCGGCAAGTCCCCCGATCCCACTGTCTTCAAAGCAACATCTCTGAAAGACGCTGCAGCCGAGGGTTTGTTTATTATTGGGTTTAGGGGTTGGGGCTTAGGGTTTAGGGTTCAGGGTTTAGGGTTTGGGGTTTAGGGTTTAGGGCTTGGGTATCGTCTTGAGGAGCCTTTACTAAACTGGCCTCCAGCCCCGTATGAGCTCCAGACCCCAACCCACACAACTGGACCCGGGCCAGAGCTTTCAACACTTTCTAGAACGACGAACCCGTCTTGCAAAACCCTAAACACTAAACCTCGAAACCTAAACCCCAACGCCTGAAGCCCAAACCCGACACCCCCAACCCAAAGCCCTACACCCTAGCTTGAAACCCTGAAGATCCCTTGTTTCAGCACCTTAATGATTTGTCGACTGTCCCACCTACCTAGATCCCAGCCCTGGTTGGAGCCTTTTGAAAAATAGGCATCCTTGCCTCAGCTTCCTGAGTCCTTAACCCCAAACCCTAAACCATAAACCCTAAACCCTAAACCCTAAACCCTAAACCCCAAACCCTAACCCCAGACCCTAACAAACCCTAACCCGTCGAACCCTCAAACAGGAGGCCGTGCATCAGCTCTCTTCTCTTCCAGGGCTTCCACCGACCGAGATCAGCCTGCCACAGCAGGACACCTGAGAACCATGAGACTTTCTCTCAACAGTCCCATACCCTAAACCCTAAACCCATAAACCTTCAACCCTAAACCTCGCAATTAATGGTTAAACGATTTCCTATAAGGGGTCGATATGGGATCTAAAAACCCTAAACCTAAACCCTAAAGCCGTCAGGTCGAAGTTGGTCAACAGTGTGTCTATAAACAACAAAATACCCAGCCACCCAAAGACCACCCTGGGTTTAGGGTTTAGGGTTTAGGGCTTAGGGTTTAGGGTTACAGTGAACACCTGGTACAGTTTTCTACTGATAAGTTGCATATGTTACGAGATGTACAACAGCAGCAACACTTGATCTGCTGGGAGCAAGCCAATTCCCCACCCCACCCTCGATATCCAACAACCAACCGTTCAACCTTGCCTTACAAAATTCTAACGTTGCTGGTGCTTGTGTCCACGATGCCTGTGTCCAGTAGGTCTAAGCCCAGAGGCCAGACCCAAACCCAAAACTACCCACCCTTTGGATCCCAGAAGGCTGGGGTTTAGGAGTTTAGGGGTTAGGGTGTAGGGTTTCGGGTTTAGCTTTATCTTCTTGTCGGAACATGTCGACAACATCCTTCATCAAGCCGGCTCCTTAAACGGTTTTCTGCCATCAGATCATCCAGCCATGCAGCACGGTGGTAGAGTTGTGCCCATAAGTCATTCAGCCTGAAGAAAACCCATCAAGGATTCCGTTTACTGACGCTTATGTAGAGCCGCGTCGTCGCAGAACGAGATCGACAGATTTCAACAAGAAGATCACATCCACGAAGCAGCACCGCCTCTTCCCATGAGCGATGAAGAACATGCGCTTTCCTTGTCTTCTTGAAGTCATACAAGCACTGACCCCTGACGCGCCAGGCGAACTTTAAACCGAACCTCCCTAAACCCTAAACCCTAAACCCCAAACCCTAAACCCTTTTATAGCCTCTGCCCCAGGAGATCCGCAGCGATGCCAAGGCACCGGCGCCTGAGCCGGGCATGGGCGCAGCTTCCAGGCGGGCTCTGCTCAAAACGGGCCATTATACTGTTTAGGGTTTAGGGTTTAGGGGTTTAGGGTTTAGGGTTTAGTTTAGGGTTTAGGGTTTAGGGTTTAGGGTTTAGGGTTTAGGGTATAGTTCTTCAAAACCCAACCTTTAAACTTTTTGGGTTCTTCTGGTGCTTAGTAAGGAAAATGGGGAACGGATCCCTATGATAGTCCCTTAAGGTCCCTTATAGTGCTCCCGATAACCCATCCACCCATTCCCTCCTAAGCACCAGACAGTTATAGGCTTTAGGCTGTGCGGTTTATAGTAGAGGGACCTTGAGGATTGGCGTCTGGTTTTGGGGCATGTTCTAGTATAGCCATGGTAAAGAACCCTAAGCCTGTGGTAATTGATTATGAAGCCTTCTCTACTTCTCTATTTCTTCAGAAGTTGGGGTTTAGGATTTGGGGTTTGGGTCAGGGCTGTAATTGCTACTTCTGCCACTTGAACCATCGGAGGACTTGAAACGCACACTGTCTACTTGGGCCTAGTTGGCTAAGTCGCCGGATCCTTCAAGTAATATAGGGGTCTCGGTAATGACCCATACTATTTTGGGAGGTTCCTTATTATAGTTACAGTAGAGTATGTTCCTTATTATAGTTACAGTAGAGTGTGTCCCAAAACCCCCAGTCTGATTAATTATTAAGGCCCCTATATTACTTGAAGCTGAGGGAAGCTGCAGTTAGCCTGCTATTCGAAGGCATTGCCCCAGGGCCTCGTAACAGTTTGAAGTAAAGGGGTTCCAGCGTGTCACGCCCAGCTCCCAAGTGATGAGCCAGCTACTGATTTCGGGTTCAAGGTTTTATCAGTCGGTTCGGCACCGAACCCTAAACCCTAAATCCCAAA